TTCCACTAGTTTAGGATTGAACTCACGGCACATCCTACGAGCATGGGCTGAAAAATACAAGCCAACCAATTTTCCTTCAAGGTCCAACACAGGGATCTGCCATTATAGATAGCAAAAGTGTAAATTATGGCATCATCAGTAAAAATAGCAAAAAAGTGAATGATGGCATCATCAATTCAATTTCAAAACTAGCTAACTGAATGAACCATCCACCTTTTTTCCATCATTTGAAATCACGTAATCACGTGAGCTGGAAACCAATATAGAGCTTATGGTTTGATTCTTCTTAGCGTTCTCTTCTTGCTCTTTCAGGAAATTCAGTCTATCAAGGTTGAACGGATACCCATCCACGCCATGTTCCTTGACCGTGCTGACTCCACTATCGCAGGAAACCTTGCCATTCGTATCAAAAATGACGAGATTAGGGATCCCTCTTACTTTGAACACTTCCTTAAGACGTTTGCGGGTCTCCGTATCGGAGAAGGGAATAGCAAGCCATGGCATTTCGGAGAAGTATGTGTTGAAAGATTCATCGTCTCTGTCAGAAGAAATGAAGACCACCTCAAAGTCCCCTTTGGATGATAGCTGTTCATAGACTTCTACCAACAACGGAGTGAAATTACGGCACGGCCCGCACCACGAACCAGAGAAATAGACTCCCACGATCTTCCCAACCAAATTGCTGACCGGAACCTAAAAATTAGTTTCGAAAATTATCAGAAAAAAATACCAGCCCTTAACGAATCAAAATCTTTTTCATGGTTTCTTTCTCTTGCCATTGAGAGAAGCAACAAAAAAAAAAAGAGAAAAAAAGAGGAGCTTTTTCTTAATCATAAAAGCTTCAGAAATTGGTCATAAATTTGTTCTTAAGCAAGGCTTGCAGTCTAATTTAAACATGATATTCATCTTAATTACTAGAAAAACCTACAAGTTCATATAAAAAAGACGTCAACTTATAATAAGACAAGAAGAAGTAGACTTGAATAAAATCAGAGAAACTCATATGCTAAAAGCAATACCTGATCACCATTGTTTCGGATGAGAAAGTCCCTCCCTTCTGAAGAAAGAAGCGTTGAAAGGTCGAGAGAAACGTCTTCGGTGGCCATAGCGAGCTATGTGATGAACTACTCAAAAGGCTAGAACAATTGCCAATCCCAGTTGCTCTGTAATGGAACTTCGAGGCTAAGGCTCCTTTAAATTACCTGCACGCCCGGCCAAATACATTTTATTTGTTTTTATTTTAAAAATATTTTAAAAAAAAATTAAAAAAAATAATTATTTTTTTATTTTAAATTAATATTTTAAAATTATTTTAATATATTGATATTAAAAATAATTTTTTAAAAATAAAAAATATTATTTTAATATATTTTAAAATAAAAAAAATTAAAAGCAGATTTTAATTAGTCAACGACGACTTGGCTTGCGTCGGGTGATGACGAAGACAATATAACGTAGGTCCGCTGAAGTGGCATTCGCATTATCACGTGCTTCTACAAATCTCCTCTCGCTTTTTTCAGCCTTTATTTTGAATAATACAGACATGCTGAGTCACTTGGCCCCACAAACATGGCTTGTTTCTGGCCTTTATTTTTATTTTTTATTTTTTTATCTTTATCCTTGAGTTTTAATTTTATTTCATTAAAATTAATTATTTAAAAACACATTAAGGATGTTATTTTAGTAAATACTTGAATTATTAAAATTATATGTGAAAGATTATTTTATTAGATGTCATTTAATTTTCACTTTATTTTCAAATAAAATTATAGTTTTATAATATTAATATAATTTTTTTTGCACAACCCGTCATTATCTTTTTTTAACTTTGCATATATACTAATATAAATTATTTCTTGAAATATCATCTAATAGTTTAAATTTTTAGATTAAAATAGTTATTTCACGTAGTATTAGAGTTTTGATAACTAAACAGTCACAAATTCGAATTTCATCATTTCTGTTTATTTAATACAAAAATTAAACATAATATAATGTAAGTCTGTATAAATTTTAAGTTTAAAAAACTTTTATTTAAAGGTATATATTAGATAATAATATAAATTATTTATTAAGATCTCATCTAACAGTTTAAATTTTTAAGTTGAGATGATATGATTCAACTATCAAACAATAATTGATTAATAGCATGTTTAAAAATGTGATGAATGTTGTGTTTTAAAATAGTTTTTACTGGAAATATATTATAATATATTTTTTTAATTTTAAAAAATTTATTTTTGATATTAGTACATCAAAACAATAAAAAACTCTTTAAAAAACCATTATTTTTTTTTACATGTTAAACAAAAAGTATTTTAACTCTTCTAAACATCACATTTAATTATAAAAAAAGAATATCAGATTTTTAATCTATTTATCATATCATGAAACATAATGGTCAGTAATTAACAAACATAACAACAACATACAAAAACCATGTATGACACTTCAAATTCATCATAGCAGATTGATCAAATTATAACATAATTCCTATGCTTTTAAGAAATTAGCAGCTCACTCTTTTTATTTAAGTAATATTTTGATCCTATTTATTTTTATGTTTTAAAAATATTTTTAAAAAATTTTAATTTTTTATTTCTTTTAAATTAATATTTTTAAATCATTTCGATGTGTTGGTATCAAAAATAATTTTTTAAAACTATATAATTTTAATTTATTTTAAAAAACAATCACAGCAACATTTTTAAACATTCTTATTTCTATTATCATTTCCATTAACTATATAACTTAGTTCTTCCTCTGGTTTTACATTATAAAAATGCTAAACCATCATTTTAGGTATAAGTGCAGAAAAAGATATCTAATAACAGATTGATGGCAAAAAGCTTCTCAATTTCTTATTTTTAAAACACAGAAGGACTAATATATTTTTTATTTTTACCGCCGGCAGCTAACTTTTCTTATTTTTTTAAAAAGAAAGAACTAGCATATTTTTCATTTTTATCACCGAGAGTCGCGTATCATCTAAATTATACAATTTCTCTTATACGATGGCTCGTGTTACACATACAATTTTTTCAAGATAAAAAAATATTATTTAAATATTAAATTATATGATTATTCTCAATCAAATCAACAATTAATAAAAAAAACAAGAATAAAAAATTCTAATACCCTTGATCTCAATAAATTAAATTTTTTAGATTTAAAAATACATATGTAATTTCACTGTATATTAAAAATAAAAAATATCCATACACTCCTTCATGAAAGTATTGATTTTTTAACTTCTAGAGATATTTTTTTACTATTTTATTGTTTATTAAAATATAAAAACACCTTCAAATAAACCACTAATAACTAATTTTTATGTGAAATTACAAAAATACCTTTAAATCAAAGGTAGATAATTTTTTTTTTAAGACTATAAACATTATTTCACTATTATAATGGATAATAATATGACTCTATAGCCACAATGAATTTGCTTCCTTTTTTATTTAGCTTTTTCATATATATAATTAGTCAATGATATTTCAAGACTTGGTTGGTGTCGGTGATGACAAAAATATTATGATGTGTATCAGATGCTTCTAGATCTCTTGTTTTTTTCAAAAAGAAAAAAATGAAAAACATATTCCATTTTGTAATCTCTCTTCTTCGTTTTTTTCCCGTTTATATTATAGTTTTAGACTTAACTTGATAAGCTTTTTGTCTTTTTTAAATATAAAAATTTAGCTATTAAATGTATTTTGCGGCTTTAATGCTTAATGAAATCATTATGTTTCTTGATTAAAAAAAATATAGAGAGAATAAATGGATAAAATCTTTAAAATATGATTTTTTTAATTTTAAAAAAATTATTTTTAAAAGCATTATATCAAAACGATTAAAAAATAATTAAAAAATTATTATTATTTAAAATTTTAAACAAATAGTATTTTAGCTATCCTAAACACCCCATTTAACTATAAATAAAATCATAATATTTTTAATTTATTTATCACATCATGAAACATGATGGTCAGTAACCGGCAAACACAACACCACCATGTGAAAACCATATATGACACTTTAAATTTACCATAACAAATTGATCAAATTATAACATAATTCCTATAGCTCACTCTCTTTATTTAAAAGAAGTTATATTTTAACATGTTTATTTTTATGTTTAAAAAATAATTTTTTTAAAAAATTTGATTTTTTTTTATTTTTTCTTTACTTCAAATTAATTTTTTTTATATTTTTAAATCATTTTATTACGGTTTCCATTAACTATATAACTTAGTTTTTCCTTTAGTTTTACATTATAAAAGTGCTAAACCATCATTTTAGGTACCAGTACAAAAAAGGAATCTATTAACTGATTGACGGTAAAAGCTTCTCAATTGAGTAAATTTTTTGTTTTTAAAAAACAAAAGGACTAACATACTGGTCTATTGAAAATGTAAGGATTCAATAATAATTTACTTCAAGAAACAAATATGATGCTATTGTCATACCCACAAGTCCACTGGCACAATTATTGCTTGCATAAAATTCCAAAATTAATTATTCTTAATTTTAATATTTTATTCTTAAAAAGTTGTAGTAATGAAACGAGAGAGTATGCTAATTGTAACACTTAAGTAGAATAAAAAATTCACCATTTATAATATAATTTGAAATTTTAATTAAATTAAATAAGATATTAACCAAACTCGTTTAATAACTCGACAAAATCATTATCCTATAAAATTAAATTAAATAAAAATTAATTTGTCAATAATTTTGTAACCTAGATGTCTTTTCAAGTTAGTTTTAGATTAAGGAATGAAAATCTCATTCCAAATTATCAACCATTCAGAATCGTTGTGTCCAAGAGGGATGCCAAAGCACCAAAACTAAACCTTATTTATAATCCATCACCTATCAATACTGATGGAACAGTTCCCGCTTGTTTTCTACAGCTGTGCCAAAACCTGAGGGGTCTATGCCAGCCCAGAAGCCCAGAAGTGTCCTTCTCCCCTAGGGTAAAAGCCCAGCAGTGTCCTTCCCCCGTCGTAGGGTGGTCCATACACAAGATGGCCAGATACAGTAAGTGATTTCAGAATATACCTTTTTCAGACGGTAACAAGTGATAAGGTTTTATGGCTGTCCATGGCGAAGGCAAAGCACGTGAGATTCAGTGGTGGGAAGCTATGGAACGTGGCAAAAAGAAACTGGGAGAGCATGAGTCCTGCATTTCAAAAGAATCGTTGTGGAAACAACCTTTGCTTCTATGGCCCATTAACTTTTCTTATATTAAAAGAAAAGAAGACTGAATCACAACAACAATATTTTATTATTATTAAAATGTCAAACTTTTTGGCAGCGTGCTTCCTCGTTTTTTGATGTTGATATTATTATAAATTTTTATTTTTATTTTTATTTTTATTATTGTTATTTTTATTATTAAAAAATTTATTACCATCTATAATATTATCACACTTATTAATAATCATCATTATAAATTATATTTTCATTACTACTATTATCATCATTATTTTAATAACTAATATTATAACTATTATTTTTATTTTTATCACCACCACCACCACAAGTCTACAACTATCATTACCATCATTATTTAAAAAACAAAAACCTTAAACTTGATTTGAAGAATAAAATTAAAAATTATAAAAAATTTATTATCATTAGAAAAAGAATAAGAAATCAAAAGAAGAGAGAACAAATTGAAACTATTATTATTATCACTAGAAAAATAAAAAATTATAAACTTAATTTGAAGAATAAAACTGAAAATAATAAAAACTATGATAAAAAACAAAGAAAAAATTAAAAGAAAAGAAGACTGAATCACAACATATTATATATACAAATTAAAAAAAGGTTAAACTAAAAAAAAATTCTTAAAAGGAAAAATAATTAAAATATCAAAATCAAAACTAAAATGATTAAATTTAAAATATCAATAACAATGAAGTTCATAGTGCTTTTTAGAGGACATGAAGAAAACAAGAGGATAAAAAAAAAAATCACGGGTGATAAATAAATTATATTTTAACTACACACGCCATCTATTATAAAAAAAAAGACAATGAAACATCAAATAATATAACAAAAAAATAATTTTTATTACTAGAAGTTGCTGCATGCACTATCCAAATTAAACAACTACTCCCACACAATAACTTATTTTGTGCATGAAGTGATAACTTTTTTAAAATAAAAAATATTATTTAAATATTAAATTATATAATTATTCTTGAT